AAGAGTGCAGTTGCAGTTAGCCAAAGGAATAAATGACGGAAAAGTAACATTTCCCAAGTTTTGAGAGCTTGTACGCCGTACGGGCTTCCCTTCTGCAGCTGGTGAGCGCTTCAGGTTGTCTCCCTGCTGTTTGTAATAGCAGTGGAAACATCGTGATGTTTGTCTCTCCTGTTGTCTCGAGGCGTGCCTGATGGTAGCCTGCTGGTTGGAGTCTCTGAAGGATGAACCTGCTTTCTTCCTAGCTGGAGGAACCTCTCCGCAACCGCCTGGATTAGATGCTTTTCCAGAAAAGTCCGATCCCTCAGAACAGGCCGTTGGTGCAGAGGAAGTTCTGCGTGTGCCAGCGGTGATGAGGCAAATAGATTTGTTCAAGCTCTGCTTGAACTGGTCGATGTCACATCCGTGGTTTGTGGCAGCAGCTTTCCTGAACCACAAGTAAAGCCTCGAGCTGCTGCAACCCTGCGACGGGCTAGTGCATGAGGTCCCTCTGCCTCTGAGCTGGCCTGGCTGTCGTCAGCCCCTGGAAATAGTTTCTCGTTAGAGACTCTGCAAAACTTCAGGGCCTCCTTTCTGGTGATGTTTGTGCAAAAAAAAAAAAAAATCTGCTTTCGTCTCCGTGTGAATCAGTGATGTTGCGGCTCGGCAGCAGCTCTTCTGGGCTGAAAAAGAGACTCGGGGAGGAGTTGGGGGTGTAAGATCTGGCAGGTGAGTTAGGAGCTGGGGTGTTAGTTGGGGGAACGTGTGGATAGCATCTGCACCTCCCTGTGTTCTTCTGGAAAGCGCTCTAGGCTGGGGACGTCACGCTCAGGTCTTCTGTAGGCAGCAATTTAGGGTTTTCCTTAATGAATTACCTCTTACTTCATGCTTTGGGTTTGTTCTCTGGGCAAGAAATCTCTGGGTGGACCCTCGATATCGTTAGAGGTGTTTTGTGCCAGCGTCTGCCCCTTCATCTGTCATCGGGATGCGACAAGGCCAGGTAGTGGGTGACAAGTTCATGCTGGCATGAAGCGGAATGAGTGTGACACGACCCCAAATAGCCTTTTTCTTCCATTTTTTTCTGCCTGGCGCCTGTGCAAACCCCTTTGCAGAAGGGCCGTGCGGAGAGACACCATCGCTGTATGCGATACGGCGCAGGCTGAGTTTTCCCACACCAGCACACCAGTGGGTCCCCATGAAGGGGGGTACCGGTGCCGTTGCTTTGGGGCTGCCCACGTGCCTCTGGGACCACGAGCTCTGCCTGGCACCGCTCTGAGAGCGAGCTGCAAAGTGGGTTCCTGCCTGGGGAGCGAGAACGAGTGGTCAGGCTGACGTCCCGTGGTGGAGAGCGCGGGTCTGGGAGCAGAGCTTTTCCTGACACTCAGGGTGTCGCTGAGGATGCGCCGAGTTCGGTGTTTAAAGCGGGTGATATTAATGAATTCGCTGGAGCTTGACGCAGAGATTCCTGGAACGTAGAAAAAAGCCCCTTCACGTAACGCTGCCTGGTTCTGCGGTGTCCTGGAGGACGAGAGGGATGGCCATCACCCCCTGGTTTAACCGATGGGGGTTTAGACTCTTAACGCTGTTCTCAAAGCAGTAAATCCATCTCTGAGGTGTGCGTTTCTCGGTGAGTGGGTGGGTTATCTAACCAGATAAAGGAAACCTCGTCCCGTCCCCAGAGAAGACCTGGCTGTGCGTGAGCTGCTCTCTGCTCTGAGCCTCCTGAATAACCCGCAGGCCGGTGACCCAGGCCGTGCCCCTGGAAGGCCGGCTGTCAGCACCTTCGTGGTGAAGCCTCGCGGGGAAAGCGGGCTTGGTGATTTCTGCTAAACCAGCGTGGGGGTGTGCTAGCCTTGTGTGGCGTGAGCAGCCTTCGCCCAAGTAAAAAAAAACCTGTCCTTGCCAGCCGCTTCGGGGGGCTCTGAAGGTGTTTCAACTTCTCTTTTCCCCAAACTGGGCTCTAGAAGGCTCTTCTGTGAACAGACACTCTCCGAGCAGCAGGTAGAGGGCAGGCCCACCTCTCACACCGGCTCATTAGCACTCAAGTGAGGGAGGAGATACGCTGGCAAGGGTGGTTCGTGCGTCGGAGCGGGCGTGATGGCCGCTCTCCACGGGCTCGCTGCGATCTCCCGTGCTGCGCTGGGCCCCGGGAATTGTGCGAAACAGCAGAAGCAGC